GCTAGCCTAAGCCGCCGCGCATAAATCGCATGAACCTCTCGTCGCTTCAGGCAAGAATGGCTGGTTCACCGTTCGCCGCCACTTCTGATGACAACGCGATCGCGGACTGCGAACGCAATCACGCAAGTCTTAATCTCAACGGAGCGCGGACCCAGCCCGTTCTTAAAGACCACCTTGCGACGCGCCAACGCGCAACATCTACGGCGCGCAACTAGCACCGCATTGCCCGCGCCGCCCTCTCCCCAGGCCCCCCCTCGGACCCCTTCTCGCCGCGGCACCTGCAGCCAGCCCCACTCCAACGCAGCGCGGGCGACGGCTTCGGCGCTGAAGATGGGAAGTGTTGTGTCAATTCAACTCTTCTGCGCTGGATCGCAAGTCGCACCGCGCCTTCCGGGGCGCCCCAGCTTCCTCGACCGGACCCCCCGCATCGCATAACTCGCCGCCCCCAGTTCCCGACCACTTCCTTCACCCCCAAAAAACACACGCTCGCTCGGGCCCCCCAGACACTTGCGGCCCCCATTAAACGCGCCCTCCGCGAGGGCCACCTGCCCCGAGAAACCAGCGCCACTTGTGACCTTCTGCGCTGGCCCTCCTGCCCACTGAGGCTCGACGCCTGCCAGCGCCCCCGGGGCACACCGGAGCCCGCGACCCCCTTCGAGCACCGCGGCCCGCCACCCCGAGGCTCCGCGCCCCGGATCACTGCGGGGGCGCCCCGTTCCATCGCGATCCAGAAACATTTCGCCACTTGGAACGGCGCGCAAACTTTGGCCCCCTCGCCATTGCCCCCAACAAAGATACCCTGGCCGCAATTCTCCGCGCGCCGCAGCGCTTCCCAGCCCTGGGCGCCTCAGTCGGCCCAACTGGAAAACGCGGCCCAGCTCGCGGGGCCCCGCTGCGCCACGCGCCCCGGCGTCTAGAATTACAACGAGAGTCTCGGGGACCCCTCTTGCAAATGCCGCGGACACTGCGTTCGCCCCCAGAACGGCACCCGGGGCTTCGACTAACTGTACCTCCGCGCACTTACGGGCCCAGTTCTTTCCCTCTATCTCATGCCGTTTGCGATTCTGGTCGCTAGCGACTGCGCGCCATGCAAATGTTAGCGCGCGCGTCCTGAACGCAGTCGCTCACGCCCACGCGCCTCTGCTTGCTCATTTTCTTCCATGCGCAATATTGTTGGGCCACTCACATAACCCCGGGGGCCCACGGGGCGCGTCGACTCCGCGACATCCGGGCACCGGCTGGCCTCGCGAAGTGCTCGGGCATCCCGCTGCCCCCCCCCCCCCTCCCCTGACTCTCAGCCCCGTTTCTCGCCGCGCCTCTCATCTCGACCCATGCGCGCCCCACTCAACGCGGCAGGCCGCCACGTGGCCGTTTTCGCCGCGGAGGTAGCAATCTCTGTCCGTCATGGGAACGACCTCCCCCTGTTCCATCCTCCCTGGCCTGCTCCTCCGCCCCCACCCCCCCTGTCTCGACGCTTCGTCGAACGCGTCGCGCGTCGCCCCCCCCCCCCGCGCGTGGGTCACTTTACAACCAGAAGCGCACTTTACAACCAGATGGGTCACTTTACAACCAGCTTACAAAATCCGAGAAGGGCACTTTACAACCAGGAATGGCACTTTACAACCAGGCAAGTAAAAACACATATTGAATGCACGCGGGCCTTTCCCTGGAATCTCCGTGGGCAAGCGCAAGGGTGGCTTTGGGCTCTCTGAGGCATGTTGGTTGTAAAGTTGCCCATCGCGCACGAAGAGGCACTGCGCACGCGTTGGCGATGCGGCGACCTGGTGCGCTATGGTATGTTGCGTGCTGGTGGGCGGATTAGGGTTTTGACCTGCTCTCTAAGCTCTGTCGGTCAGTTCTGCCATTGCTTGCTCTGCCTTTTTTTCTGACGGGCGAAGGCTAGTCGCGCAGGGCATACGAATAGACCATGATCCCGTCCAAGACTGGAGCTGCATGGCAGTGGGAAGCTGTAGTGGGAGATGTGGTGGTAGCGGGGGCTACAATGGGAACTGCATGGCGTTGGGAAGCTGCGGTGGCAACTGTGGTGGTCGCCAGGCAGCGGTGGGAACTGTG